GTGTCTTTTGTTCAATTTCAAATTATCAAATGTTCTTTCCTCCAAATTGAGCAAATGATAAAAGGCACCACTTCACAGCAATTTTGTCAAAATGTTTAACTGTTGACATCAGACATCTGTTTATTGTCCCATAAAACTACAACTTGCTTTTTCTCAAGTCAAACCACATTAACAAAATAAAGAGCTGGCCATTCAAAAATTACTTGCCTTGGGAAAGAAGATCTTTCTCTCTCCAGATATTCACCAAGAGCTTTCTGTATTTTACCGAGTAGATCAGCAAGACGTTCTAGTTGACGTTGACTGTTTGGTATATTTAATACATCTATTACTAGAGGAGATTTGGCTACACGTTTCATTAGTCCTAGGAATTCTGTACTAACTCTATAATATAAATAACAACTTTAATAAATTACAAGAAAGGATAAATGAGATAAACAGAAATTCAAAAAACGTTACCAAAACATCGTGAAATTTGACATTGTTTGATCAAATTTTCAAAACAATAATAATCAACATCCAAACATCAACTTCGGAAATCTTATCATTTATATTTTTTTAGCAGCCATTTCCTATCATAATTTATATAGCTTTACACTAGCAGTAGTATAGCTCTGTTTGATTGCTCGATTGCTAAGCATTCAGCTCTCATAATTTCAATCTTCCTCAATTCTTACGCCATGGCCAGTTCAATCCACCTCCAGTTTTCAATAGTCATCCGAGTGTCAGTCTATTTTCATCAATGACATATAAAGCTAAAGAGAAATATGCTAAGGGATACGTACCCCTGGAATCGGGAGGTCTCGATAGGTAATAAATGTTTAATATCAGCACTGCCAGTAAATATACCCTCCAGATAAACCCATCGTCTCTGAACATCAATCCACACATCAAATAAAGCATTGATTCGATTTAACTTATCTTCCCACGCTAACGCATCTTCTTCAAATTGCTGCAACAATCAAAGATCATTTTCATACATAGAATGCTAGGATCTTTATGAAAATGCAATGGAGAAAAAATATTTGAAAAAAAAGGTTGGGGGAGGCAACTGAGAGTTCTCCACACAAAATGTACAAGATTTAAAAAAAAAAACTTTTGACTTTTTGTCACAAATTTAAATATATTTCTATTGATGATTTGGCTATTGAAGACTAGACACACCAGATAGCAGGATTAAATATGTACTCTATAATTGGATTTCCAGCTGTCAAGGGATCTTTGCCTTTATTTAAATGTCCCAAAAACATTTTTTGGCCATGTCAGCTCTTTCAAAATCATATATTCTCTCACTTACTTTTCAAATTATTGTGGTACAATAAAAATATAACATACCTTATAATACGGAGATAATTTCATAGCCATGACACTGTTAAGATGTTCTTTAACCTTGGTAAATAAATCATCCCAACCTCGTATCAGACGACATTTATTC